CTAGATACAATGTCCCAATCACTCTAGCTAATCAGCGGATTATAAAGACATGACACTCTGAATATTAACACTACTAGGTTAACATTACACATTCATACAAATACTTGAAAACATTATGATTTATTCAGCTGAAAACCAAACAGGACGTCACTGAGAAACCATGTCTGCTTGGCAACCAAAAGCTATACCAAGCCATAAAGCCCTGCGCTAAGAGGCTACCTCTGTGTGAACTGGCCATAATACTGTCGCCTCTATTTAGATTAGAGGTTTTAATAGCGGCAGATGATGCTCAGCCACCAAACTGACTCTAGTAAACCTCTACTTCCTGATACCTGGGCAGCAGTAAAACACAGTAGAATATTGTTCCCTCTTGAAACTCATCCGACTGATTAGCTTTTCTTTTGAAAGAGTTATTCATGTTAACTGCTATGATATTGTGCAACTTAATAGAAACATATTAAAGAATCATTTTAAACAACACTCCTATAACACTTTACAATTTCCTGCATTCTTGATGTATTATGCAAAAGGTCCTTAAAGTTCCCTCAAGTAACAACATGTTCCTGCTAATATCAACCTTACACTAAATTACAGGACTAAATCATGTTTTCTGTGCGTATTATTATATTTCACACTAATTTATCTATTTAATTTTTAGCATGTATGTATTTTCAGTAGTAGTATCACAGTAGAAAAACACAATGTGTCTGTATAACCATCTTTCTGCTTAGCAACCTGCTGCTCTGTAACACTGCTCTTCTTATTGATGACATCCCTGTACAGGTGAACAAGTTTATCACATGATCTTTACAGCACCGCATGCGTGACAAAGTGAGTCTATCTTTTCTTTTTTTCACTAAATACTGTCCGCAGATAGAGGCGAGAACACCATCTCATTAAATACACCGGACAAAAAAAAACACATAATCTACACAATTTGGGCAACCCCATTTTTATCCTACAATTCAAAAGCATACTCTTTGCAGAACACAAAACCAATTCAAATGCACGGCGAGAGGCATTACCTCCAAAATATAAACCACGTGATTTAGCAGAACCAAACTTCCTTCATTAAGAGCTCAAGGTAAGCTTCCTCTTCAAAACCAAACGCATAACTCATCATTCTTACAGTTGACGTGGATGTTTTGCATTTTTAGAACTATATATTTTCACGGGAGGACTTTGACTTACCTGTGCTTCTGTTTCCGTCTGGAATGTGCATTTATCCAGGTGTACCGTGATCAGCCCTTCAGTGCGACATTAGTCTCCCGCTGAGAATAGGTCAATGATAAAGGCGTTCAACAACATTAAAAGGGAAGGTTGGAGAGCTGAGCGGGATATAATTCATGGAGCAGCACATTGGATGGCGCCACCATAGCCCTGTCATTAGATCGATTTACTAAACAAACTCAAACCAAGGTGGGGATGTTAAACAGTAACCCAGAGCCATAAAAACCAAAAGGAAAGGATCACCAGGTGTGTGTGTTTGTGTGCGTGTGTGTGTGTCAGTTAGGGCCTGTAACACCCCCTCTGAGGGTAGAAGGTAACAGATTCAAGAGGCTTGAGGTAATGTTTCACAAAATAATGGTGAAGAAGTAACCATTTTAGACGTTTAATTTCACTCTGTACACACACAGGGTTAAGTGTTAGCAAATATGTTGAAACACATGTAAACTGTGTATTTCATTCCGACTCTTATGTGTTTTACAATAAGTAACATATTGGATTAAACAATTAGGAAACCAAACAGTAATTTTATTAGCTAGTATTACAAATATAATGTTCGAAGCCTGTGTTATATTCACACACACCAGCAGATGGCAACAGTTCATTCATTTTGAGCCAGGAACAGTTTACAGTCTCACATTCTTACAACATTTTCAAAGACAAATCCAATAAAAAGGCAAAAAACTGGAATATTATTGCATTTCTCACACAATAAAAAATTAGGATGTTAGGATTATGTTAGGATTTAAAAGTGGGAAAGCATGATAAATACAAAAAAAATATTAGCTCCAAAAAGACCAGAAAATACCCACTGAGTAAAGACTATTTTTGTATGTTTTATAAAAATCTCTTCTTTAATGTTTTTGGAGTTTTAATCCAATCAGTGCTAAAGATTTGTTGTAATTTGAGTAGTTATAACATTCAGCTTTTTATAGAAATGCACAATAGCCATTTTGACCCTAACCTGATTCCTTCGTTGTACCTGTACAATGACAAATTAAATATCTATCTACTTCTTCCAAAAAAAAGCAAATCAAGTATCCGGACCCCCTAACACTGCCAAGAAATGTCAAAAAGTCATTTTGGGGCAGCAAATGAACCAGGTTCTCCTGCCCAGGAAGGTGAGCATGTCCAAACAATTAAAAGTGGTCAGAGTCAGAAACACCTCGTTGACGTTCTCCAGGTGGATCTTTTCTAAGTAGTTGAGCCGGAACATGTGGTAGGGGATGAAGCAGACGACCATGACGAGAGCGAAGCACAGACTCTTCTGCTGAGCCCCGTAGTCCTGCTGCGAGCTGCACCCCTCATGGTGCTTCTTGTATAAAACCCTCAGGGTGTTGGCTTGGAGGCCTGTCAGCACTGAAGCTACCAATATGATCACTATACTGACGATGTAGTTTAACACCTTTGCAGCAGCTATGTTGTTGCCAAACTTGAAGCAAGTGGTATTTGTGTTGTTTTCACTGCCCTTATTGTTTCCTATTTTTCCGTAGAAAGAATGCATGATGCAAGGGACCACGACGAGCACCACGATCCACACCGCTCCACTGATGAGGAGAGCGTGGAACTTCTGGAAGGATACCACAAGCTCAGTGTTGTAGTAGAACGACATCAAGCGTGTGACGAGGATGATCACGTAGAAGAGGAAGGACATGTACATGTGGATGTGGATCATGCCGCTGATCACCCGGCACAACCCGGGGCCCAGGTCCCATTGATGATTGGCGTAATAGTAAATCCTGAAGGGCACGGTCAGGAGGAAGATGAAGTGGGTGAAGATGAGGTTGAGTACGGCTATGGAGGTGATAGATGTGGAGCTGAACCTCATGATGTGCATCATCAGGCTCAGGCTGATGATGCCACTGAGCAGAACTACTGAGTTGATGACCAGGAGGACGGTGTGGTACTCTTTAGGGTCTGACGTATTTTCCAGGGGGGCTACGGTGTTCGGTGAGGAGCTTGAGGTCATCATGGAGGTCATCATGGAGGTTAAGGCCGAAGATAACACGCTTTGGGGGACCGTGGTAGCCATCTTAGATAGGGAAATATAATAATAGCTTGGATTTATATAGCGCCTTTCATGAGACCCAAGGTCGCTTTACAAAGAAGAACAGGGCAAAACATAACTAAACAAAAGGCAGTCAGACAACCAGTCAGACAGACAAAAACAACAAATAGATTAGGGGCCAAAGGCCTTAGTAAACAGATGGGACTTGAGGGCCCTTTTGAAGGCGTCAAGCGTGGGGATGTTCCGGAGAAAGAAAGAGGGGAGGAGAGAGAACAGGAGGGATTGACAGAGAAACTGAAGATTGGTGATGTGATGGAGGGAATCAATCAGTTAAGGGCTTCTTTTTAACTATTTCGTCCATGTTGTGGGAATTTTTCTTTCCATGTTTTCTCCTTTAAACGTTTTTTTTGGGGAGTAAAATTGTAAAATTGACTTGACCATTAAAAAACCCCGAAGTAGGCTTAACCAAAAAAATAATAATACTAAATACAAAATAATGTAAAAAATTGGCTCATGTAGCTTATGTTTTAAACACTACATTATATTGACATACTTCACTGATGCTATTTGTTCATATTTGAACACAAAATCCAGATTAAGACATTGACACCGAAGAATAATTTTGTCGGATGCTTCAAGTGTTCATTTTAACAGGAAACCAAACTTAAAACATACTAAAGATATTACATCTCCAAAATACAAACCCTAAAATACAAAGGTAAGAAACAAACACATTGTTCAGGCCATCAAAAGAACATTGTGAAACTGAAAAGGAAATAGCATTATAATCGAAAAAGAAAAAAAAGACTTACTTACTTTTTAGTTCTCAGAAGAACCGCCAGCTGAGTGCTCTTGAATGTGTGAAAATGAGGCATACAGAGCGAGTATTTCCTCTACATTAAATCTAATTATCTTTGTCATTAGATTTTGTCGGCGCACATGGGATAAGCTCTTCGTGTGGTAACGCCTATGTGTGTGTCTGTGCACTTATTGGTACCAACTCATGTGGAAGTTGAGATTGTGAAGATCAACCTTGTCTGTGTTTCACCAACCACAGTTCAGTTTTGCATAATAGTGTGCGTGTACTCCTTTAGCAACTGGAGGTGTTTCACATGACCAGGAACTTGGCTGCTTCCTCCTTCTGGTCACTACACTTCTCTACTTATTAATTTCTTTAATATTAAACTATATACAAATCATTATAATTTGAAACTGTAGAGACAATGCCATGTAGAATTGTTGACTAGAAATAGAAATGTATAATGTAGGAGCAACATAAACAATACTTAATGCAATACACTCTTTACCTAATTTTAAAATACTCTATCCTCCAAGTGTCTTCCTCCCAAGTGAGGAATGACATTTGGAAAGAAATCTATTAAATGATTTATATTATGTTGTGCTTACTCAATACAAATCTAATAAATTGTTATCAAATGTATGAGTCCTTATAGCTATCATCATTATGCCATGTTACAAGCAGGTTAAACCTAATCAAAACTATATTTATAATGCATTATAGTCATGTGCATAATAGAAAGGATACTGCTATTTAAAATCTCATATGTGAGTTTTTTTGGATTACTGTTTTTTTGTACAAAAAGCAATCATATTCTGCAGAAGTCATGTTTGTCTTGAGTTTCTAGGAACCACAAAGAGTTCAGACAGATCAGCTCTTACCCAAATAGTCTGCTGCTCTTAATTATTGCATGGAGATCCGTGACACTATACAACAACAGTTGTTTACTGTACATTACACTATGGAGTCAAAGTTTTGGCCCATTGAAAATAGAAGAAGTGAGAGAGGATGTGGTACTGCTAGCTGTGATGTGGAGACATGTGTGCAAGCACTTAGTTAAAAGGCAAATAGTGCCACTCCAGCTGGTGCAATGAAGCTGAGAACATTTAGATATAAATATTTATCATATTCAGAAAAGACCCACAGATGTAAGTACAGAAAATCCCTTGTCCACAAAGCGAGGTGATTTGATTAAAGTAGTAAGTTATATTTGGCTATGTTCAGTCAGTTCATGCAGTTAATATTAGCCTACTTTGCTACCCATCATGTCCCGAAGTTTGATCTGGAAAACTAAATTGCACGAGAAAACCAGGTTTTTTAAATGTATTTAAACAAACTATCCATAGGTTTTTCAAAACACATCTTAACAATCTTATGTACAGACATTTACAAGTTTGCTACCCACAATCCCTTTGCTGCCCACTGAGTACAGGCTCTACAAACAGAGCATAACATTGATACTGGCACCTGGTGTATTCTGTTAATGTTTAATACAAAACACATGTCTCTTTTTGTTCATTCATGTCCACAAACATATCATCACAATTTTCTTTAAATAAATCCCTTCTCCTTACCTTGTGAGCATGACACGTCTCGGGTAGCTTCCCAGGAAATACAAACTCAAAACAGTTGACCTTTCTTTGGTGGATCATGAACCAGCATCCTTGGCAAAGGCATAAGTTACAGTCCGATATTCAAATGGCCTTAGTCCATCCGTCAATGATTAATGTAAAAACAATAATGTATCAACTCCGTGTACAAAAGAATACAGTGCAAACAGAACCTTGGACAAGTCTCGAGCCACTTGAAAATGTCCTATGTAAACCATCTATCTAAGGAGTTAGTGTTTATTTACATTCATACAAGGAGGAACAAAGGAATAATGTTCTCAACCTGCACTAATTCACTATTGTAGACATTTTTAAAGCAGTTCTGAGAGGATAGTTGAAAGCATCTGACCAAAAAGGATGTACAAGAGGGGATTTCCCACAATCCAAAACAATGTAGCTTAGTGGTGTGAGACTCTGTACAGTATAATGACTCATAAAACAATATCCCGTATAAACTAACCTTGGCTTAATAAGGTGAATGCTAAATGAAAAGCACCTATACAAAACACTTGGTTGCACTATACATGTTTAGGGGAAGTGGGTCTTGCGCTTCCTCCACAGAATGAGTCTTTGTGAGGTGAGAATGTGCGTGACCACGCTGAGCAACATCAGGAAGATGGTCATCGACATCACTATCACATAATGGCTGATGCTGAAAGAGACAGAGAAATACGTTGAATACACTTAATCAAGTGTATGCAGCACATTTAAAGTAGAGGCCGAAAGGATCATCAAGGAATGTGGAGGGTAGTGTTATTGTCAAGTGATTTATTGGTAAGAATTAAGACACTTCAAAGCATGTAGGTAACTAACCTTGTTCCTATGTCCAACCAGCTGCCGTAGTCCTGCACCAGGAAGAAAAAGTGCTGAGGAGAAGAAGAATGAGTTGAAGATGTGGAAAGGTAAAAGAGAAAAATGATTTGATAAAGAACAACAGTGCATAAAACATTTAACTAGGGCTGCACGATATTGAAAAAAACTGACATTGCGATTTTTTCCCCCCTGCGATATATATTGGGAAATGAAAACATACAGAAATTGAAGAAAAGACCGTTTTTTTCCACGCAAACTATCCTTTCTTGAACTTTAATGCTATACAATTGGTATTTTTTTTAACTTTATTTAACCGGATGAAGGATTTTAGTCACGGACGTCTAGATCTTAAGTTATCAGAGCAACAAGCTGAGCTAGCTCGGTTAGCGCGGAACTGCCCTGGAGAAACACATGAAACTACTTTATTCAGTGTTTTTACCTTTAATCACCGGGTCTGTTTGCTTTGGAGATTTGATTGTGGTTTGCTGTCAGAGCCTGCATGTCACTCACTCAAGTTCCCCTGACATGAGCTGCGCAAGTTTTCCTTTTGTAGCAAGCAGCAAAATAATTGTAACATGACGTGTTTGAGTTCATTTGCCTACTTAATATCGCAAATCCTAAAAAAACAAAACAATCGCATGTCCTGCGATGTGAATATCGCGATTATCGTCACGACACGATATATCATGCAGCCCTACATTTAACCCAAACATTTCAAACATCCTCACCAGAGCCATCAAGTCCGAGATGACCAGGACAATGAGGAACAAACTGGAAAACAAGAATACAAGAGTGGAAAGAAAGCGTCAAAAGTAAGATCTTTGAAATTATAAACATCCACAACCACACAAGTGTACGTCATATACAGCATGCATGGTAGAATGACCCCACTTCACACAAACAATAAATACAAGTATGTGTATATTAGATTAGATTAGATTACTTTATTGTCATTACAAAAATGCAAGCACAGTGTAACGAAATTTAAGGATGGTCTAACCAGAGTGCAAAACAGTCAGTTACATACACAATTATCAGAAGTATGTACCAAAATAAATGATACAAACATAAAGGTAAATAGATGGGAAATGTATAAATAGGAATAAATACACAGATAATAATAAATACAGTGAATACAGAATTGCGCTTCAGCACAGCACACGACAACAACTAGGCAGTATGGGACAGCGTGGGGTTCATTGTCAGCAGTCTGACTGCTGAAGGGAAGAAGCTGTGCGTAGTCCTGTTGAATTGTCCTATAAATTGAGTTGAGCATCTTATTCTGAAGGACTTACCTTCTTGATGAAAGCTGTGTTGCAACCTGGATGGTCTCAAATGTACACATCACTATAATGAAAGGAATGATAACCTGGAAGTTCAGAGAAAACACATTCAAAGTTTGTTTCTCAGACAGATGTATCAATATACTACTCTCCCTTCTTGGAAATGTATTTCTTGAGTTATGATGATGAAAGTATACAGTTAGGCAGCACAATCAATAAACGTTTGTTTAAATGGTACCTTCCACATCATCAGCCCTCCCATGATGAAGGGGTTGAAGACAGTGAGGAAACAATAAACAGACGCTGGGTCAAAACTAGACAAGGAGAAAGAAGGAGAGGAGGTGACTAAATCATTAAAACATTAAGAGAATAACACAAAGGCATTTCACACAGTTTACTGAGTCTACTGTCACTGTTTTCCTTTCTGTAGTCAAATGAAACATTGCTAGTAAAAAAATTACCCAAGATGCACCATGCACCGCCACACCACCCCCAAACACAACTTCCTGCCATCAACACCACACAGGTGTATATATACAGTATATGACAATGACCTACAGTATATGACAATGACCTACATACCTGTTAATGGAAGCTATGTTCCCTGTCCCGAAGAACGCTGTTATTATAAAAAATACCTGAAGTAAAAGTATGGTCAAGGAAACATTTGGAGCATTATCTTAACTTTGCAAAATGATAATCTAATGCCATTTTCTAGTTCTGAACTAAAGTCTCCATTGGCACCAGTTTGAACAATGTCACTGTTGCAACATACTCTAGGAAGGATACAAAAAAATAAGATCTTCTGATGTCATCCAACTTCAGTTGTCGGATCTTGGTGATGTCGATGTTTGCAGAGAAATCGATAGTGGAGAGCTGAAAGAAAACACACACAAAAGCATTATCACACATTCATTTACACACCCAGAGAGATGATAACGGTAAGTTAGCACTCAGACGTTGTGTACTTTATGTAGAGCTTTATGTAAGCCCTCTTCACAGATTACAGTGTGTTATCACAAGCAGGGATGTCCTTGTTTATTTAACTAAGAAAATGACATTAAAGGAGTGAATAGTAGATAAATGTTAACAACAGAACCTTTCAGAATATATATACAAAAATATACAAATAGAAGGAAAATACGCTTACACAAGGTCAGGCAGAGTATTATAGTACATGCCATAAGGAAATGTTGCCGTTTTTGTTTTATACAGTTGATAACATTGAAATACTTGGATAATCTGCCTTTTTCCATGAAATAAAACATAGTGTTTCAGAAACCAAGGGGTGTGTAAACTATCAGTATATGTGATTTTAATTCTGTAGAAACCTATAGTAAAATATTTAGACACACACTTTGTTTACAGTGCTCTAAAAACTCTACATTTGGAGACAAACACTTGTTGTTTCCACCTCTTGTCTGCCAGAGACGCCCTGAGCGAGCATGGCTTCCTGTTCAATGTTGATCCACACAAACATCAGCCATGACAACACAGGGGGGAACAATGCCTCTGACCTGGGGGGGGAATACATCATAAATGATATAACTCTAAAATGTAATTTGACATGTAAGTGCAGCTGCATGATGTGTGTGTGTAATATTCGTGTCTCACCCGGTGCTGAGCAGCAGGTATGTGGCTGTGAGGGAGAGGAATATGCTGAGGAGTCGGTGGAAGATACGAGTAGAGCTCAACAACGGCACCAGCATGGAAGACGCTGAGAAGACACAAGTGAGGTGAATGCAATTGCAGAAAAAGGTTTAAAGAATTCCCCATAATTCCTTACTTTCTTTGAGTGACTGCGTAGATGGAATACCAGATTATGTTGAAAATCAAGCCTTACAGTATGTATGTATGTAAGCATTGGATTTCAATCATGTGCTTAACTTAAAACATACAATCAAAAATGTTCTTTCAATACGTTGTAGTCCTTCAAACCGTTCTTCTTTAAACATCAGATGTTATATCCTAACAGCTACATGACTATGATTGCCTGTTGTATTTTTCAAGTGTGCATTTTCTCAGGAAAGCAAGGCGGCTTTAATTTCACTTTTCAAAATAAAATGGTTGTCCTACAGACCATAGGCTGATATAGAGTAGTAAACTTATCCTAACCTCATATTTCTGCATTTTTTCAGGCATTAATAACATGTAGAACCCTGTGAGATCTAACCAGGAGTTAAATAACTTGATTTCTGTCTTAGATATCTGATTATGTTTTTAGAAAATGACATAAATAACACATCCCCAGGAGATTCTGAGGTGTTGGACAGATGGTGTGCTCACTCACACCTGCCTACCTAACGTGGTCCAGCTGATGATCTGGTTCAGAAGCGGCAGGCCCTGTTTCTGCTGCAGGCTGGAGTGTGTGAGGGACGGCACGTACGCACACACTGCCACATGGAGCATCTGTGTGACAGGTGATCATTTATTTCAGAAAATGCAATGACTCAATCACACCCAACGTGACATGTCTTGTAGTTACCTGGGTGATGAACTGCTGCCGGTCAGTGAGGTGCAGCGGAGCTTTCTGCAGCGCGGACCACAGGTAACAGGCAGAGGTGAAGAGAGAGAGCACACCTGCACAGGTACTGAGCAAACGCACAGATTAATTTTGCACAATATGTTGAATATAAATGCTGCTGTTAATTAGCAATTCATTTGATAGTTTCTGCCTCTTCCACTTGACATCAATGTTCAGAATAATCATCAGAATCTGAATTTATCCCTAGGAAAAAGTGGGTTTTGTTCAAAATGTAAAAAGTAATAATAAAGAAAAATAGAAATATTTAGATGAACATAAGAAGTTAAGGTAAGAATGTGCATTAAAAATAAATTAAATAAAGGATAGTTTAAGAAAAAACATAGGAAGGTAAAGTTAAATGTAAGAAAGAAAGATAAATAAAATTAATATTTATATAAAAATGTGCACATTGTACAAAACTATAAGACTGAATGTCTATTACAATACATGCAGAGGTATATTTTCTTATGTAAAGTACTGCTTACTACATTGTGATTATATACATATAATAATATAGGAAAAATATTAGCATTAATATTCTGACATTGATTCGAACCATATCGCATATCTAAAATGTTTTAGCTAACATCACTCTGGTATGATATTTCTGAAAGTATAGCGATATAAATATATTTCCTTGTAACCGACGGAGGTTCTTCTGGTTTGAGAGATTTGGCTAACGGTAGGACACTGTGGTTCACTTTCTGATAAATGTAAGCAAATAGAGGAAACACTCACACCAGATGTATGTTCGGCTCTCTGCCCACAACAGGCATCAGGGGGAAAGCCGCCAAACACAGACAGCCCAGACACCAGCTCACTGAGCGGAACTGCAGAGGGACAGAGGAAATGAGTTCAGATAGGAAAGGAAGAAATAAAAAATAGGTATTTATCAAAAAGAAGGCACATTATGAAGTGTGATGTCTTGATAAAAACACTGATGTTAGCTACAAATCTATCAGTCACACCTTCTGTCAGCAAGACGTTTTGCTACTGTGTTCACACTCAGATGTCATTTACACTGGGGACGCAGGGGACATGTAAATATAGAATAAATCAATTTGCATGCCCCTAAGCTAAAGAAAAACAACCCTAGCTTACTCAATATACAATTAGTAGTCTTTCATGCACTGATCAGTAACTGTACAAATGTTTCAGCCTACTTTTCAGTTTTTTTCCTCAAATTGAACCTTCCGATTAAATTGCTTAAAAATATATGCTATAGAGAATTTTAGTATCTTCTCCCCTCCGTTTTCAACAAAAAGGGACGCCATTGTTCACGCTTCAGTTGTAGGAAACTGTACCCTTGTTTTCCCAAACTTTGTTGTGAAACATCATTTTCCAAAACCTTTCCAGGTGAGGTAATATTCAAATCCCATGACTTTTTCCTTGTGTACAGTACTGGGATCTTCTCTCCCTCTATTCCCCTCCATTGTCAACACAAAGTGATGCCATTGTTCACGCTTCAGTTGTAGGAAACTGTACCCTACCTTGTTTACGCCCACTTTGTTGTGATACATAATTTTCCAAAACCTTTCCAGCTGGAGCAGTAATCCATGACATAGTTACCTTGGCTTTTCCAAAAAGTCCTGAGAGGAAGGGCCAGAGTGAGAGGACAGCCAGGCCCACAGTCAGCATGGCGCGATGGAAGAAACTCACCACCTGGGGGCAGCAAAGGTACACACAATGACTACCCTTACATTGTTTGTCATAATACTGTATGTGGAGGTCAACTAAAGGCTTGTAAGTAAAGCTGTATCAGTACTATGAAGCAGACATTTTTACATTAAATTACATGAAAGACTCCTACCAGTAGCTCGATTCCAAACGCCACCAGCACAAGATAGCCAAGACATTTCCACAGTGGCAGAGAGGGAGCCGAGTGAACCAAATCTGTCAGAGTTCTATACCTGAAAGGGATCATTTATTAATGAGACATTATTTTTCTGTTGTGAATTGCATACAAGAAAGACACATGCAAAGACTGTGTCCTTTAATCCATTTTCAGAGGAGGAACATGAGTGGATACACTTCAAAGGATCTAATTAACACTTCACTGCCGCTGTGCCAGACGTGCATGAACATGTTTGTGTGAGGTAAAGTATAAATACAAATCTGCTATATTCATTGATTGTTGAGATGTCCATTGATGTGTGTTTGATATGTCTGACATCCTGTCTGTGTGAGGTGTTTCCCCACCTCTCTATAAAAACCAGCATGCAGATTATTATTATGTGTTTATACTCACTCTTTTAGCACAGAGTACCACACAGGAACAGGCAGCAGGCAGTAAATGTAGTAGGTAACGGGGCTCCTTTGGATAAGCAGGAACACAGTGATCACCACCGTCACACAGATACACAGCCTCGCCAAAGTGTGGCTGCGATTCTGCACACATACACCGGGAAAAAAACACCAAAAATGTAATTTAGTGAGGCAATCGAGTAACTTTAATGTGCCTTGGTGGAGGAGATATTTAGAGGCAAAGAGAGAGGGATTGTTGTGTATGTCTCACCTGATTGAGGAGACTGGGGTGACGGTCGAGGCTGGCGTGAGTCTTCAGTATCACGAGCACAACATATGAGGTCCAGCCTACGAACCCGAGCACTACGCTGCAACCCAGGAAGAACCTGTCGTAGGTGTGGTAGTACACCAGGCCCTCCAGAGCATTCGATATCAGAGAGCGGCACAGAGAGATCTGACAAGAGGCAGACGAGGGGGAAAGAAAAACATCATTGGTGAATACATTCAACATCCTCCTAATGGATTTGTATACTTGCAAATGTGCCCATACACTGCAATATCCTTCTCCAAAATACTCACAAAATCGTCATACTTCTCCAGCTGAATCAGTATTCTGGCCTTGTGGAAGAATTCAGCTTGTTTTGACTCAGTCAGGAGTCTGGGAAAATCAGAGAGACAAAGCAATAAAGCCAGAGTGTGTGAAATTGCATTTAAATGTGGTCTGAAATAGGGTGAAGAAATAAAACCGGTTTATTTGCTTTAATACTTGGCAAACAGCGATAATATTAAACATGATCCCTTGGTAAAATAAATGCTTGAATTAAAAAATTAACACAGCAAATAAAATGTATGTAATTCATTGACAGCTATCACAATTCATGAACTCACTAATTGTACTTACTGGTATGGGGTGAAGAGAAATGACAAAGTTGTCTCCTTTTTCTGAGCCATTTTCATCTACAAAAACAAATGGAACAGCTCACTCACTATAGATTTATAATTATAAGACATTGAATGTAGGCTTATCCATACAAAGAACTTAGAAATGCCAGAGTGTTTAAAACTATCATTTTAAAGTTAGTCTTATTAATCAAATAAATAGTACAGAAAATACCAACATTCAAGTATCATATCAACTTTAATTGATACTAATTTATTACCATAAATAAAGCTCAGTAATAGCATAGCTTAATGCATGTATACCTTGTACTGCTCCAGTACTTGAATAGCATTCGTGTAAATGCTCTCTGCCTTGAACTGGTCACTGTTGTTAAGGTAGAGAAGAGGTAACACACCCTGAAGAGACACAAACACACATAATTACTATTAAACAACTGATCAGTTTTTGACAACTTTCCAGATAGAAAGGACTAAAATATTTCCAGTTTCCTTCATTTATCTCTAGACTTACAACAGAGTTAACAGGAAATGGCACACCAATGAGAGAAGCCATTAGGGGAGCGATGTCTGCCTGTAAAAAACACACAATATATTTAAATATATTACAATAACTGATGAAGTAAGTAAAAAGTGACATTGCCATGAGCCTCACTTGATTGACGTCAACTCTTTGAAGGTGCTCCAGTTTCCAATCTGGAAGAAACAGTATGGATTAAAATCGGGACACAATAAAACATTTTAAATTAAACAATGAGAAAATGTATGTTTGTCTTTCAAATGAAGTTGCTTTCACTAAATGTTTTCCTTTTTTTTCTATAGGTGTAGGAGAACCTGGGTCCTAAACTAAAAAAAAAACAGCTTGAGAGGCATTAAAGCAGGCAGCTGAGAGAAAAGTAAATGAGTTTAGCACCTTGTAAGAATCCATCGTTGTATGGTTGGGCTGCGGTGACTTTTTGGGCATTTTTAACTCCGGCTCCCCACGCCACTAAAGGTGTGAGAGTCTCCGAGGGATGGCCTGCTCCGTGGGAACCTGGAGACACAACAGACGATACAAAAGGCTACTGTGAATTCATTTGCATAAGAAATTTTTTTTCCAGTTGCTGACAGTTGAAGAACAACAACAAGAGTCCTACCCCAGTTTGTCATGCCATGATCAGAGGTGAACACATAGGCTGTTCTTCCATCATGATCAAAGAAGTCTTCCACCATAGACACCAAATCAGCTACACCAGTGTCTACCAGTCCAATATTGTCGAGGTACTCCCTAGATAAAGAACAGATACAAGACATTGCTTATTTGTTATTTCATTATATTGTATATGCAGTGCAACCTAAACAACAACTGATGACATTTCTCTCACTTCGACATTGGTCTGTGAGCATGTCCGTTTGTGTCGATGCCCAGCAGATGCAGGAATAAGATGTTCTGATCCTCCAGCAGACTGGCCCTCAGACTGGAGTTAGACTTGGCTGACTGGAAGAATGACTGGTGCAGAGAGAAAAATAAACATAGTAGAATCTGTTAAAGATGGCATGTGGGGGGGGGGGGGGGGGGGGGGGGGGTGGGTGACGTTGACATACACCGAGCAAAACCACAGTGCATAACAATGGACTCCAGTGCACGCTATTACGGGCACTATATAGCACGCACAAAAGTAGGCTATCTAGGCATTGCTAATTCCTGGCTACATATTACACAGATTCTGCATAATAATGCCCTGCCCCTGCATCTTCTATTTCAATCTTTTTAGCAGATTTAGCGTTTTTAGTGAGAAAGAATTCCGAAATACGTCAGTTCATGTTCATGTCAGTTACTTGTCACTTGTGCAGCCGACTAAAAACTAACAAAACGCTTTTTTTCCACATCTTTTTTATTTTTCTTCCCTGAAGCTAAATAATTTATTATATAGTTTAAAATTATCATTTGAATAATAATATATAATGTAAAATATATCTCAGGCACAATGAAATGAAATGAAAAAATATATATAAAAAAAAATAACATTTGCATACAGAGGAGCTCCGCCTGCCTGCCGCTAGGGGGTGCTGCAGCGCCCTCAGCACCCCCCTTCCCGCGCCCCTGTCCAGAACTCTGCTGCCCGCCTCCTCACCCACACCCGCTCCCGAGACCACATCACTCCCGTTCTCCAGAACCTCCACTGGCTCCCTGTCCGTCAAATAATCGACTTCAAATTCCTCCTCATAACTCACAAAGCCCACAACAACCAGCCCCCCCCCCCCCCCCCCCCTACCTCACAGACCTGCTGCACCACCACACCCCTTCCCGCTCATCAGAAGCCAACCTCATATCCATCCCCATCCGCATCAATCACCGGACCTGGGGGGACAGAACCTTCTCCGTTGCTGCCCCCTCCCTCTGGAACTCACTCCCACAACCCATCAGAGACTGCACTGACCTCACCACCTTCAAAAAACTCACAAAAACCCACCTCTTCAATCTGGCTTTTAATGTGTGATTGCTTTTGTATTGCTTGATTTTAATTTGACTTTAACTATATATTTATTTGTTGTTCTTTTCTTTTCACTATATCTGTAAAGCGTCTTTGAGCACAAAGCGCTAACAAAATAAATCTATCATTATTATTATCACAACATGCATCATTATTGTTAGTAACTCTACTACCATACTTTGACTTGAGTGAACACCCAGCTGTCCAGCCTGGAGGCGTCTGTGGAGGCGAAGTCTTCCTCCGCTGCTGGGTATGTGTGGGTATACACATGGTCTCCACTGGCACCTGCAAGAACCACAGCACAAAATACAATGATAGTTAGAATATGTAGATCTAAAATATCAGCACATTTAAGCTGTAATGAGTAATGATACAGTTTTTATCTGTAATATTTAGCTTATTGATTAAGTTGGTGGTTATGATTGTATTGTTTGTATGTGTGTGCTTGTCTGTGCTTGTGTACCTTTAGCAAACATTGGCAGAATATCAGGGCTGCCCCAGCACCAGGTGTGTCTGCTCTCATTAAACACAGAGTCAAACTCGACAGGATTCTCCTTCCAGCCTGAAAACACAGGTCAAATAAGGTAATTACACTTGCAGTCAAAAACAGTCACAAATACAGTACGAGTAGATTCATCCTTCATTGGGATACGATTGTCGGTGTGGTTTGGTGGAAAGAAAATAGGTCCTACATGAAACTACTAACAGGGGTGTTTTGGGGTGAACTATGCCTTTAATCTTTTACATAGCCAAATCTGTATCAACATGTACACCTACCTTTAGCAACAGCACTCACGTCCTCATAGAAGCCAGCAATGAGAGCAACGTGACCGGGACGAGACTCAGTGGGCACGCGTGTGTGTGAAACCCCCCAGGTACCTCTCTCCTCCATCACATTCCTGATATTGGGAAACACACACATACTTGTACTCATATTCCTTAGTTATAACAGATTTATTAGCAAAGCATGGGAATAAAAGACCCAGAATAACAGTCACACACACTTCAATGCAGATACACACTGCCTTCACTACACACACTCCCAACCTTAAGTATGGTGCTCTCGATGAGCCGTCGGGGAGCGGTGTGAAGAGACTGTCCGCTCTGAGGCCATCGGCCACCACCAACACCAGTCTGGAGGCAGGGGGGGCCAGCGGTGTGGTCTGGGGGGTCATGCCGTGGACCAGGGGAGAGGTGAAGTAGATGTCAAAGATAGAGACGAAGAAGATCACGTGGACTATCAGTCCCACCAGCAGGAAGGTGATCATCTTCATTTTGAGGGTGAACACTGAGCTGGGTCTGCAGGGAAACAGGGGGCATGGAGACAGATTAGGTAAGGTCTGATGTGTGTTCAGGTGAAATGGGAAGCAAGTTGATACCGGCTGATACTTCACTAAATCTGCTGTTTTAATTTGTAAGGTAAAATTGTAAATGTAACTCTGTAACCCTGTAAGGTGTCCTTGGGTGTTATGAAAGGCGCCCCCCAAAATAAATGTATTAAGTATAAATAAAGTATATAAATGACTGAGGAAAACATGGACACATATTTCGTTTTAGAGTACAGGATAAAGAAGTTAGTTCAAATATTAAGGGAATACTTTATAAGGTTCAGCTTTGTATAACTAAGCCATAGTATGTAAGATTTAAAGACTGCTTAAGATCAGGACTAATCCTTCTGTCACCATATGCCATTAGATAATAAGCTAAAAGTGTAATGGTTAGTTTGGTACATCTCAATGAGTTACCCATCGGGCCAGCATTCATACATCTTTAGACCATGCACAAAGTATTACCTGTATGTGACTTCAGTGGGATCTGTCCATAGAAACCGGGGACTCTGTCTCGTTGACGAATGAATGGAAGAGCAGAACTATCTAAAATACTATCACCCGTTCAAATGATTTAGCATCGTTTTTATCCTCGTAGTTAACTTATTATTATATATCCAGATAACACGACCGATAGAGGATTTGATTTACAGAACAAGATCCGCGTAATCTTTAAATGCGTCCTTTTACAAAACCGACTGTCCCTCTTTTAAGAAGCTTAGTACAAGAAAACATGAGCATCCACTTCCTTGTTGTGACTGACGTCTTACGTTGACGTGTGTACTTTGCAGCTGATTGTGGGTATTGTAGTTAATACATTTATTTCATAGCGAGCACTACTTTTCAATTGTTTAAGTGTCAAATAAATGCTTTGAGTTCTTATTCTTTAAATATTTGTGTTACAGTGTAGTTTAAAAGGAAAGCGTTATTTTTGACAGCGTGTGGTTCTTTGACAACACATTAGCTAGCACAGGTTATCAGCTGTGAAATGTGCCCTGCCCAGTTTTCCTTTCTGTCTCGCCATTATCCAATCATCTCATATAGTCCCATGAAAAAGGCGGGCTTTGGGACGACGTCTCTCAAAATTGACCAATCACAGCTTTGCATTTTCCCCCTTGTCAACCAACCTACCAAACCAGAGCTAGCATCCATTCAGGAAGAGGTCCGGTTAGCCAGGCTAGCTAAGAATCTTTATAGTGCAAAAATGGCGTCGGTCAACCCGTTTAATCTCAGTGACTCTGAGGAAGAGGCTGAACGGCGCCCCAATGAGACAGTTGACACAGAGAGAAGCCCGAGTGACGGGGCTCCAGGGCCTCCGCACGGTAACCCTTTCTCTCCGTCCGCAGACACCGAGCCTCCGACGCTGTCTAGCAACCGGACCAGCCCCGGCGGTGAGGGCTCGGTGTCGGTAGCGGTTACCTCCGCTATGGCTGCCGAGACACGGATATCTGTGGACGGTATCGCTGCACAGCTACTGCGGGACCAGTACATCCTCACGGCCCTGGAGTTTCACACAGAACTGCTGGAGACTGGCAGAGAGCTCCCGAGGTTGAGGGATTATTTCTCTAACCCCGGCAACTTCGAGCGACAAAGCGGCACTCCGCCTTCCAAGGACCAGGTACTCGGACCTGGAGGACCCCTAAGTAAGTACCTAGGGAAAGTCACGTAGCTACAATATAAGGTTAGCACACTAGCTAGTTCATGTTTGCTGGAAGTCAATCGATCTTCTGCTAACGTTATCCGGTTTATGCACCTGTCCTCCAGGTTCAGGGCCCTTAGCCAACAAGAGGGTTTCACAGGGTCAGCTGTGTTGGCTGGCATACTGACTGCATCACCACATTAATGTGATTAAGCTGAACCACACTGTCAGGATGGATTAGTGATACTTTGACAGACCTATGATAAACATCCTAATGTAATAAGCACAGTAGCTCTTAGGCCAGAGAGAGGTCAGCATCAGCTACATGCATGGAAAGAGAGAGACGAGAGGAGAAGGCTTGCACAGGTCACTTTTGCAATACTGTATGGGACTCGTGCTGATAAAGCACATTTGAATTTGAAAAGAAGCCTGCAGTCAGTAGGAAATAGGAATGTAATGTCTCGCAAAAGAGGATAAAGCAGGATATGTTACATTCTACATTTGTTTTGAACCTAAATCCTCTTACATTATCTTTTAGGGATGTGTGTTGCTTTGTTGAGCTTGTTTCTCCTAGGCCAGGGACATGCATTTAGTTAGTATATTCTTCAAAGGTGTGTATCTGTAGTTCCTCCAGCCTTCTGTATTTTATGGTCACTGGAAAGTCTGGACCAGTAGTCAAACATGGCATGCAAATTGTAACCATGGTGACAGCCCAATCCACAAATAAATAAAGCCTGCTTTAGAGCAGCAGGAGTAGTATTACCATACACTTTAACCCAACGGTGACAAAGCACAGGAGCATGGCATTGAAGGGAAGGTGACTGACAAACCCTTGGTTCGTTAAGCCATTTTACTGAGGTGAGTGGAGCAAACAAGTAAACATAAAGCTATAAGGCACAACAAATACAAACAAAAATACACCATGAAGGTATCATTATAACAGTTAAGCTTCTCAATGCTTTTTAAAGTGTATGGACTGTCAGGGGAGGATCGTATGTGACTTGAAAGTGATATCGGATTATAAAATGCCCTTGTCTGCACATTATTTTAATTGGATCCTCTTTAATTACTCTAAGGTTTTAATGGAAACCACTCAGCTTGGTATTCTCCATTGCAGTGATTGTATCCGTCTTGTCAAAGTATATTCAACTTAGATCCAGGAGTAAGAGGATAGGATGTCAGTCACCCCTTTTATTAGATGTGCTCGGTCATTTTAGTAGTTATTTAGAGAATGTCCTCCTCGTCAATCCTAGGATCAGTGTGGTTTCCAAATGGGTCACAGTATTAAACGCCGTGTCACGAAAGTGGAATGTTTACTTCCTTTGTTGAGCAACAACACCAGATTATGGAATTGTCATTGTATAAACATTTGGCAGGTGTCCAGCTGAGGGATCCACAGCTTATAAATAAATGCTGAAGGAAGTGTTATTTTTCTCCTCATTTAGATGCAATTGACAATAACCCAATGTCTCAGGAGGCTTTTGCAACCGGCCTGAGGTTAGACAGCAGATGGCAGACAGTCAGATTCACTGCGACCCATAGAACCCCGTAGAATTAAAAACTTGCATCCATTTTTTTTAGATACCGCAGCAGACAACTGTGAGCTGTGTGTGTGTTGCAAAGGTCTGCTGGTTGCATTATCATAGGAGCCCCCAAAGGGTTTGGAATATTGAAACAGAATAAATGTTTTATGATGTCTTTGAAAAGCATGACAGGACTCGACAGCACCCTGTTGTGAAACTGGAAGGAAGGTCGCAAAGATCTAAGTCTTTCCCAGAAGTTCATGGGATGTCAAATCTACCCTATTGAAAAAGATAAAGCATCTGATAGAAGTCATTGAGGGAGAAAGTGATGGACTCAAGGCAATGCCCCCTTTCATTCTAGCAGCATCTGATAGCCAAGAAGACGTCATGTGATAATTAGAGGGAATGTATGTTCCTGTGTTTGAGGGTCATCGTTGTTGAGGAGGAAGAGATACTGACTCGAGTCTGTTGTTGTTGAAACAGTTATAACACAATCAGTACCTTGCTTTTGAATGAGTGAATCTTTCAATGTTCTACTTATGCTATTTGAATTTCTGCTTAATTTAATAGTGACAAAGACAGACAGCAATAAATAGGGAGAGAGCAAATCACACTGATTCTTAAGGATTGTGCTCACTTTTAAAGCCCTACAAAAGAGACACCCTTTCAGAAGGTCATGAAAGGATGCATGGATACATTGAGTGTGTAACTGATTGAGACATGGCGTGGCACGATAGCCGCACAGTGAGGGGTCCAGCTAGTGAAGGGCATGATACATCAGCTGAGTGTGTTCCGTGGTATTGCACAAAAGAAAGGTTACAATAAGAAAATGTTGAAATAAAATACACATGCACTCGGCTAGGAACCCACTACAAGCTTATCTAAAAATCTCACTTAAAAATAACAATGCTAAACAAAATAACATGCATATCTTTTGAGCATGACTGTGTTCTGAGCATCTGCAGCTGTTGCTCTGAAGCACATGGCACAGCAAGGCATCTCTCTGCACCTCGCTAATTTGCAGCAAAGGAGCATGAATGATTCTCTCTCTTCACCCCTCAATGACTAGTCGGGTAGTTATTTGCTCATATGATGCGAGGAGCTTTTTACATTTTCCATGCATGCAAGGTTGGCGGTAAACAGCCACATGTAAGAAGCTGGTGAGGTTTGCCACATAAGGCTGTATAATCTCAGGACATGAATATGAAAGTTAATTTGTAGTTGCAGGCACCATCTGCTACTTCAAAAAGAAGCTTCAAATGATAGATTGTATGCTGGGGTATTTGTAACTTGCCCTCCAACAAACCCTCAAATTGCTTATTGATGAATCTGCCATTTGGTCTATGAAATGTCAGGAAATAGTGAAAAATGTCCGTCCCAGTTACTTCTCACTAATAGTAGCACTAGCGCGGCCTATTAGGTGGCTCACCCTGACGTGCACTCTCTCTTTCTCTCATGTTTTCTCACTTTTTAATGTCCCTCCATCATTTACTCCGACAGTGGCAGGGAGTTGGTTGGTTCTGTTGGAAGGCACTTAATGAGTGTTGGCCAGGCTCCATGTCGTGCTGGACTGCACCGACTGGCTGCAGCTCCATGTCGTGCTGGACTGCACCGACTGGCTGCAGCTCCATGTCGTGCTGGACTGCACCGACTGGCTGCAGCTCCATGTCGTGCTGGACTGCACCGACTGGCTGCAGCTCCATGTCGTGCTGGACTGCACCGACTGGCTGCAGCTCCATGTCGTGCTGGACTGTCAAAAAGCTCACACTCTTGCCAAAAGATCCTTCCCAGGAAAAGAGCTTGTTGGCTGCCTCCTCCTGACCATCCATCTTCTCTCGTTTCCTTGTCTTTGTAAATGTTCCACTTTGTACTTAGACCAAACTATCGCTCCTCTCTTTGTCTCCAATGTTTCTGCTTTGTTATCATACTTGCCAAAGCAGAAAAAACATCCTTCCTCTTGTTTGCTTCCTTGTTGTCCTTCCAGTTGTTCTTGTACGATTAGGATTTTCAATATCAGAGATACAAAGAGGCTTCCTTCCCTCAGCGAACAAATAATGGTGTGTGTGTGTGTGTGTGTGTGTGTGTGTGTGTGTGTGTGTGTGTGTGTGTGTGTGTGTGTGTGTGTGTGTGTGTGTGTGTGTGTGTGTGTGTGTGTGTGTGTGTGTGTGTGTGTGTGTGTGTGGTGTGTGTGTGTGTGTGTGTGTGTGTGTGTGTGTGTGTGTGTGTGTGTGTGTGTGTGTGTGTGTGTGTGTGTGTGTGTGTGTGTGTGTGTGTGTGTGTGTGTGTGTGTGTGTGTGTGTGTGTGTGTGTGTGTGTGTGTGTGTGTGTGTCAGGAGTGCAGTGAAGAGGTGACCGTCTTAAGTGTCAGACAATACACGCCACAGGCGCACAACAGAAAGGTCACCCAGCAAGAAATACTTGTGTTTCTTACCAAATCAGGAACACACACAAAAGGCTGCCGCTGCTGTGGAACTACAGGTTTCCCCCTTCACACACAAATGCATACAAGCACAATATTATCCATTGATTCACCCAATAGATTTAATATACTCACCGTGAACATCCATCACACTTAACAGGGTTAACCTAATGACATTACAGTAACACACACAAGCATGACATTACAGTGATACACACACACTCACTCTCACTATACAGTCACAGGACTCAGAGTGTGTGTGCTTTGTGAAGCTGCATGCATGGTCATACTTAGCATTTGACATACGAAAGCACAGAAGCTTCTATTTGATATGTTTTTCTCCCCAAATGTAAGGTTTTTAACATGTCTTGGCTATGCAAACATTTCCTGTCAAACAATAAAGTGCGGTACCTATTGTCAAGTAGGGGTGCAACAACTAATCGACTTAATCGATGACCAAATTAGTTGCCAACTAATTCAGTCGTCGATTCGTTGGTGACGTCATCACGTGTGTTTTACGTTAAGCTCAAACGTTATCGGTCTTTTTATCAGTACTGGAGACATTTAAAAAATATATGTCATGTATTATTGGTACAAAAACATTATATCGCAGTCTTAGTGTCGCCAACTCGTTTCTAATATGCAAAAAGACAAAAAAATGCGTCTATGATGTATTTTCGATCTCTCTCCCCGGTCTGTGTGCGAGGGGGCGGGGCAGTTGACACACACGCAGCTGCTACATGCAGCAACACACACACACACACACACGGAGGAGATGGCGGAGAGAACGCGCTCCGAGGTGATTACACTTTACCTGTTCGATGTGAACAATGCTCGTTGCCAATAGTGCAATAAGAGTTTAGCA